CAGCTTAGAGAATGCTTTATATATATATATATATGTGTCTTTTGTTGAATTATACAACATATCAATACAGTAGATACTACCCCATTTTATAAAGGAGGCAGATAAAACTCAGTGAATTTAGGAGGTTTGTCAAGATTACACATTAGTAAGGGACAGAAATTAGATCGCAAATCTTTTGACATCTTTCTGCTTCACCACAATTGAGAATTGTCTTTCCTGTTAGTCATTCTCACAGTACGATCTGCAGTCCTTTATGGGTTGTAAACTGATCTGAAAATGCATATTTCCTCCTTGGTTTTTATGAGTGACATACAGACAGTCTCATAGGCTCTGACTTTTACGTACAACAAGCTAATTTAACTGTCACTTCTAAATGTGTGTCATTAAAGCTTGCTAAAATTTTATATTCATGAATATATTATTAAGATAGATCGAAGAATCTAATTCTATTGTATTTTGTACCAAGACGTCTGGTGGCTGCACGATGCTTGACAATGATGCAAAGGTCTAACTGGTTAAGAAATGGAAATCCCCTAAGATGTTGGAATGAGTAGGGCTCATGATCCACTAGGTCTTTGCCCCACTTAAATACAGTCCAAAGGGGGAGAACACTATTCTATGAGCAACATTCTCCTTTTGTTTATTTTTGATCAAACAAAAATCTCCTTTCCAGTCTACATGCATTCTTTCTCATTCAGAACACAAATGCTGTCAGATGGTAACATGGAAAAAAAGCTTGGATTTCTATTCAAAACACGAGTCACCTCCTACTCTGTCCTGAAAGACAGCCCCCAAGGCTGAGGAGAAAAAAGGTTAAGCCAGATAGGAAAGAAAATCCTGCCCAATGGATATCACGTGACTTGGCAACTGAGGTGAGGGCTGTTGTATAGAAAAAAGCAAAGTGGTTTTTGAATTAGGTATATCAACTGTGCAGATCCACTGATATTTGGCCAAGGAACTTACCTGGAGGTAGAGGCACGTAAGTAACTCATTTTCCTTTTTATGACCACTATGTCTAGTGCTTATCTTTGTTAAATATTTTCCTAAGTCACCAGACTGAGAAACAGTTCTCGGGTTACTGAAAAATTCTTCCAGCAGGTTCGAGGGAGGGTTTGTAGAGCAGGAACTCCATTTCTGATAAAATCCAGGAAGAGTGTATGCTTCCTACTAGCCTTCTAGATCCACTGTCCTTCCTGGAAAGTCTTCATTTTCTTGCTTTGGACTAAGTCTAGAGAACTAACTTACTCAACATCCGTGCATTTCCCGCTTTCCAATCTAGGCCGTGACCATGACCAGACCCCACTACAGTACTTCTAGGTGGTAGATGTGTAGTGGGATGAGGAGCATGTTAAACCAAGAATTCAGAGACCAAGTTCCAATCCCCCTCTGATATGAGCTCTGTGACCTAACTTTACTGAACTCCAGTTTCCCTCTACTTTGACCAAATGATTGCTAAGGTGTCCTCCAGTTCTAGCATGCTATGATATTAATTATCTCCAGATCACTACTTAGAGATGATTTGGTAGGAAGAGTACGTCAGTCCAACAGCGTGAATATCCTAGGACCCAGTAGAAATTCTGTGACAATTTTAAAAAAGCATTGGAATAGAAGTCAAAAATCTCCATATGCATCTATTAATTAGCTCTTGAGTGACAATAGAGGTTTAGAAAGGTGACAGCTGAGGTTGTCCCAGTCATTTTATCTCTTACTCTGGTTAACAGATAGAAACTGCAGTCCAGAGACCAGAAAGTGAGTCCCAAATCAGCTACTGGCAAACTCACTGTTTTGTGTGTTTGTTTTTTATTTCCAGAGGGTACGTGCACTTGCCAGAAAGAAACAGAGAAATGGGGTTGGGGGGGGTGCAGAGAGGAGGAGAAAGCACCCAACAATGGGTCATGCTCACGCTTCAATCCCTTCTCCATTTCTCTATGCTGTTGGGACTTAGGGTATACATGTACGCACACCCAGCATGTTTTTCTAGTCATTAGAATGGGATTGGAACCTGTCAGGTGCATGAGATCTAGTTCCCTTAACCTCTAGGCTATGAGGCCAGCTCCTCACATTACTGCTTTTAGTTTTCATGACTTCATCTGTAAGATAAATCTAATAATGTCACTTCTTGGTGTTTATTATACAATAATGTTTATTTAGGTAGAATAGACACCAGTTGGCTGTTAAACAGTAGAGCATTTATACAAATGATAGTCACCTATGATTATTATGATCCTCTGGATAGACCCCAAATCTTTCACATTAACAGCTCTTGCTCCAACCAACATGCCCTTCCTCCTCTGTCTAAGGCACAGTCCTGTTGTGATTGATTAACATGAGCTGTATGGTTATGTTTCTGCTGACAATAGCCATTTGGCAATTCTCAGCAAGACCAAAATGATTCCTTTCTTTCTATGAAAATATTATCCTAAAGCAAGATCTGAGGTTAAAATTATGAAGACAGGTTGAAAATATAGTAGCAGAAAATCTAGGGACTTTCCTAAATGTCAGCTCTCAGAAGATAAAGGACATCAAACAATCTACCAAAATGCAATGCTTGGGTCTCAGAAACCCTTGCAAAGCTCTGTGTCTCCAGTTGCACCCATTCTGCTCCACCCCCTTCCAGACAGATGAGCTAGATTGACAGGGGCAAATAAGTTGCAAGGTTTTTTGTAATGATGCCTGGAGTAGTGCTCTGACAGCACAACTCATCTTTGGAAATGGAACCCAACTCATCGTGGAGCCAAGTAAGTTATGTATTTTACTACAGCCCAGTGTTTAGTTCCTTTGAGTTGTTGTAGCGTAGTTTGAACGAATGGAGCTTCTTGGGAAGCCACAAGGTTCTAAGTTGAAACCCATTGTTTGTTGCAAAGAGTTGGAGTAAACAAGAGGACATTAGGTTTCTCTAAAGAAAACATTCTGTGTGTGCTTGCAAACTCTGTTCTGAGACTTGATATTACTTAGGTTTTCTATAACTACCTAATTAATTTCTATAACTAAAAAAACAGCCTTAGGTCTGGCTTCTGGTTCTGGCCTGATCAGGGGCTGGAATTGGAGAAAAGGCAAGCTCAAAATGAGGAGGGTCTCTCTGCTGTTTATGAGGGAAGAGGGAAAGTTAGAAAGAAAAATATACATTATAAAAGAAAGAAGTAAGGAAGGAAGGTCTCTATATATGTATCTATCTCTATGTATCTATCTCTTATATAGATCTTGCTCTTACCTTCTTTTACATTAAACCAACATGATTAGATCGGACTAAATGTCTATGGTCCCCCAGGTTCCACCCTGGCCTGGGTCTGCTTAGATCAGTTGAATGCTCACCTCTCCCAGTAGCCCTGAATCCTCTGTACAAGGGACTCTGCGCAAGGGTTCAGGAGTGCACATCCAGTGTAGAAGCACAGCCACTAACTTCAGGACAATAGAGAAATAATGGTGTGCTGATGCTGTCCTGGAGACATTGCTCCTGGTAGCCTGTTTCAGTGTTTAGAAATCCAGGGGCCCAAATCAGGTAGTTTGGGTAGCTGCCAACTGGGGCTAGTCCAGAGAACAATAGTCTTTCAGATACTTTCTAAAATGCCAAGTCCAGTGTGACAGGCGTTACTTATTACAAAGTTAGATATTTCTTTTGTTTATTTTAGAGAAAATAAAGAAGTGGGGAAAGGTACATGAATATGGCAAGGCAATCTGACACTCTAAAAAAAATAGCTAGTACTGTTAACATGGTCTCTACCTCTCAGAGGATAATGTAAGCTTACAAGGGTTCCTCATTGCCTAAAAAGAGTAGAACACTGAGTTGTCTTATCTTTGAAGGGAGAAAGACTAGCGCAATGAAAAGGAGGAAAACAGAATCATGCTGTAGCTGATTGCTGTCTGATTGATGTTTAGCAAATTGCATCTGGGCAAAAAAGTATTGTGTTTCATTTTTCCCTTTAAATTGCTTGCACTTGAGATTCAGAATTATCTGCAGTGTTAGAATCAAATCTTTGCAGCTGTGCCTTTGGGACTCTTAGGAAAGAAGGAAATTGATGAAACTGATGCTCAGCCCCTCTGCTGGGATGCTGACCACTCTCCCCAGCGATACTCCGTTTGTTTCTCTGATTTCGTCCTCCTGCAGTGAAGGAGTGTAATATGATGATGTAAGGCTCAGGTAGGGGAAGTGAGAATTTCAAATCAAGCCTTCAGTCCTTACAGTTTTGATGGTGAATAATGGCCCTACATAACTGTCGTTCTGTTTCGCCTGGGTCTAGCCTTAGGTTCTCGATTTTTGGTGACTAGGGCAGTGTAACCCACATCGTCTTTAAGTTCTACTTCACATGATTACTATACACTCCTGAGGCCAGTCTCCAGATCTAAAGTCAGAAGAAATGATTATTAAACAAAAATAAGCAATCCCAAGCAAACACCGACTCCTCTGACCTGTATCCGTGACACACAGCACCAATGGGCTCCCCCAACAGTAACTAATTTATTATTCAACCCTCAGGTCTTTAGAAAGCCTTTCACTGGGTTTGGGGAATTAGAAAACAGATTTCTTGTTACTGTGAGATTCAGTATGAGTGATGGGGGAAATTGGGTTTCTAATCAAAAAGCAGTATTTGCGACCCAAGAGAAAGGAGCCACAGTATGACAACGGAACCTGTTTCTAAACCCTCCTCTCCTCACTCTAACATTCACTGTAGGAAATGTCAGCATTCAGTGTCCCATTTCTACCCCCATGCTATTGTATTTTTCTTAGCCCTCCCAATCAACTGGACTTAAATTTTCTATCTCGAAGGCAGCTACCGGTTACCTGTCACTCTCTCCTCTTGCTGTCTCAGCCCTGTCCTACGGTCCCTGAGATGGGGATTTTATGCTCACATCTCTACCTAGCACCTCAACTATTATTAGCTTCAAGGGGAAACAAGTCTGTGTTCTCACCGTCCTGGTCTTATCAAGGACAGCTTTGTAGTGCTCTGAGCTGGGGGGGTCCTGGAGCTGAGACAGGAGACTGGGGAGGCAGAGCACAGATGTTCTAGCCCAGGCCCCAGCCCCAGGCCGGTTACCTTTGAGGCAGCATTACACTGTGCTCCTGGGACACTCGACAGATGTTTTTTGGAACTGGCACCAAACTCTTCGTGGAGCCCCGTGAGTTGATTTTTTTCCCTATATTTCTAGGGATTTATTTGAGTCCTGGGACTGGGACTGCTGTCCAGTTTACATTACAAATTATAATGAGTAGATGAAATTCTAACTAGGAAATTAAGTAGGGCACCTATGAAGTGGGCCAGAGTGAAGACATTAGACTGAGTCACTGAAGTAGCTCTGTAAATACTTTTATTTTTAAGCACATATATATTAACACGATAGCTCCACTTATTTCTGAATTCTGAAGAGAAACCCAGAAAAGATAAGAAATCCAGAAAAATTACCAATAGTTGGAGCATTCAGATATAAGGGAGACAGTAGCAAATCACTTTGGCCCAAATTTCCCAGGAAGATATTTCCTCTTTACACATCCCTTTGTTTGAAGTGACTTAAATGCATGCTTCATCATAAACTGAAAATGAATGTTCTAAAGCCTGAAAGATTTTCAGGAGAGGAGTGATTATCCTGATCAATATTTTGAGCAGGTAAAACAAAACTTTTATTTCCGGGTTTTAATTAAATCTCATATTGGTAGAGAGTCTCAAAATTCTGAGTGACATTTATAATAGACGTGATTCTTAGGGGATCAATTAGACTTTCTATGAGAATCTAAAACACAGGATTTCTAAATTTATGAATTAAGAAAGACTGTTTAGGAAAAGTATATACTTCTTCTTGTATTGTTGACCAGCACATAAACTTCGTGTTATATAGTATTCTTAAAAAAGAAAGCCTGAAAATAAAATAACAATGGCCTAAACAAATAGCATTTGAAGCGTGTGTTGGAATGTAATTACATTTGCAAACCAAGAAGAAAGAATGGAAATTCTGAAATGATAAACAATTAAATCTTTAATTTAAATTTCGGACTATGAGAATACAAATCTTATACAACTTCAAATTTTGGCTTAAGTCAAATATAAAATAGAATAAGATACACAGGGCAACTATATTGAATGTATTCCATTTTTTTTAAAAAAAAGGTTCAATTTAATTAGTTTCTAATAAGATATCTGATTAAAGAGTGTAGTTTAAAAAACACTTTTCCTTCAGACAAGTTGCTCTGAAATACAGAAATTAATTTAGAAAAAGAGCCTGAAAAAAAAGTCACCAAATAAATGCATTATGCTCTTTCCAAAATGCTGACTAATAGATTCTAAGCTCAATATCGTAAGTACATGGCCTTTTCCAGACATCTTTCTGGTCGGCAATATTACATTGTTCAGATTATTCAAACTTAGTCTCCCTAACCCAAGATGACAGACAGCTGCCTGATGAATTTAAATTTTAAAATCTTAAGCAAACTTTAATTGTCCGACTATATCAGCTAGGATTGAGTCATACATTTAAATAATCAAGGAGATAGGTTTTGTCTTTTTATAAATAAGTTCTCTTCTTAATGCATAGCTTCCTTGAAAATCAATTGGAATACATCTCAAATGAGTTAGGATAGTGAACAAGAAATGTCTCAGTTTTGAAGGGAGGTGAGTAAGCCACCCATGTGGTTTCCAGCCGTTAGTGCTCGGGTTATCAGTTTGCTTTTTTTTTTTTTTTTAATCAGTGGCTTTATCTGTACAAGGAAACAAAGCAAGGAAGGGTTTTCTCATGTAATTTAAAAGCAGGTTCTAAGAAAGCCCTTTGAAATATTCCCAGTGCCTCCTCTTGTCTAGAGCCAAAGCCAAAAAAAAAAAGGAATTCTTAGTTTCTTGCTCTGAATAATCAGAACAGAATCCAGTATTTTAGCCAAGCTTCTCACTGGAGAAAGGCTGGAGAATCATGAAGGTAGTAACAGAGGCCGTCTCTGAACAACTGACTTCCTGAGAAAGTCCTGATCAGCCATGGTCCGTTACTAACTGGACAAGCACTCCCTCCCAACCAGATATAGCTAGCTGATTTGGTGATAGCTCTGCTACCATAGGCCTCACAGACGAAGCTCAAATCCCCATTCAAGATGCAACACCAGAAAAATAATTTCTTTTATATACAAATTCATTAGGAAGAATTTTTGTTTAGCAATATCTAATATCTTCATTTTACACTTTACTAAAAAAAAGTACACTGAAATTCAACATACTTTTCATTCGATACTGGGATATTGAGGCAAGAAAATGATGACATGGTCAAATATTTCTATCTCTCTCTCATAATTCATTAATAAACCAACAGATGCAGATAATATTCAGCCTGACCCAGAGGACTGACTAACAAATCATAGATCATTGAAACGTAGAGTATGGGAAGTTTCTTTGTAGTTGATACTTATATCTCTGCTTCCAGTCCTATCTCTTAGCTGCTCCTAACTAGAAGTCAAACTAATGGTCTTTTATTTCTGCTGTCTTTGGCCAATCCTTCGTAGAGATGCTAACAAGCCCAGGCCACTAAAAGGATATACAGAGGTCTGAATTAATTATAGTGTTTGGTCCCTGAGGAATCTAGGTAACCACCACTGTTTAACTCCCACAAAGTTGTGAATAATCATCTCACGCAATAAGTTGATTGTATTTGCAGAAGTTCAGTCTCCTGTCAAACCATCCGTTTTCGTCATGAAAAATGGAACAAATGTGGCTTGTCTGGTAAAGGATTTCTATCCCAGGACTGTAACTATAAGCCTCAAATCATCCAAGAAGATAGTAGAATTTAATCCTGCTATAGTCGTCTCTCCCAGTGGGAAGTACAGTGCTGTCAAGCTTGGCCGGTATGAAGATTCAGATTCAGTGACATGTTCGGTTCAACATGACAACCAAATCGTGCACTCCACTGACTTTGAACTGAAAACGACTTCTTCAGGTAGGTTGTATTTGACTTCAAGGGAGGAAAAATTGAGAAAATGACAAGATAAATACATTTTATATGTGTGTGTGTCTGTGTGTGTGTAATTCTGGACAGATAGTTCTCATTGTAGCAACTTCATGTCATTGTCTGGGAAGAAAAAATTCTGTATCCCTAAGCTGGAATCTAAAATAAAAATCATCTCATCTCATCCTCATCTCACCTCTTCGCTATCACTACTCCTTTAAACAAATCATTGTCCTATAACTATACCCTGGAATTGATGATTCATGTACACTCTAACCCAATGTTTAATTCCAAAATAAAGGACAGTCCAGCCAGCTGGGGATTAAGAATCTTCTGTGTATTAGAGACACACCTGTATGTTAGCCTCCTGGTGCAATGAGAAAAGTCCAGAGTAAGAAATATGTTGGCTGTATAAATAACTATAGTAGTTTAACCAAAGTGCATCCTCTGGGCCTCAATTTACTTCCCTAAAGACTCTTCCAGTTTTAAAATCCTGAAATCCTTTGAGCCTCTTGGCTCCCAATGTAATACTGACTACTGCTGTTAGTTCTAGATACTCCAACACCAAATAACCCAGCACCAGTGGAACCTGAAAACAAAAAGCAAACTGAAGAGACCTGCCATGAACCCAAAGGTTAGTTCAAACTAAAGGGCTGACTTCAGAATTGAAAGTTAAAGCAAATCCTGTAATTGTTGAGTGGGACCAAAATGGATCATATTTCAAAAGAAAACCAAACTGTACTGAGACCAGTTTCTTCCCTTTGACTTCTGACTCTCCAGGCAGAGCTTGCCTGGCTCAGAGCATGGGTTTCCAAAGCTTGCGTGGCGGGGCATGAGCAGCTGCCTGAGGTCTCTGAGGGCAGTCTGGCACCAGCAGGACTTACAGGTCAGGTAGAATGACAGTAATTTGGGGCAAGCTGGTGTCAATGTTTAAGCCTAGTTTGTGGAAGGGAACTGGTTTCTCCCTGAAGCCATCATCTTCACTTTCATTCAGCTACAGTCCGTGCCGAGAAAGTGAACATGATGTCCCTCACGGTGCTGGGGCTGCGGATGCTGTTTGTCAAGAGTGTTGCCATCAACTTTCTCCTGACCACCAAGTTATTTTTTTTGTAAGGTAAGAACTAGCTGCTCCTTTTATTCCTATGTCCACCCAAACTACACTGCAGGTGGGAAAAGGGACTTAGGAACAGTAAGAGACCAAGAAGTAATACGGAGAGGAAAAACACAGAGACGCACTTAGAATTCATAGAGAGGCTCTCTCAGATTCTCTGCATAGCAACATCCCATCTCTTGTTATCCCTTTATTTTAAGCCAGACTCAAAACCCAATATGTAGTATAATGTATTATTTTTTAGAGAGAGAGATTTTTTTCTATAGGGTGCATACATTTGCCAGAGAGAAAGAGTCAAAAAGCTATCAATCACCCCCCGGGGGGATGGCCGTGCTGCAATCCCTTCTCTTTCATTCTTCTCTTGGAATTTTGGGCACGCACGCACATGCACTGGGGTCCAGTACTCACACCACGGTCAACTGCATGGGGATCGAGCTATGTAACCATTATGCCAACTGCTGGTCCCAATGTATTATTTTCTAACATGCTAGCTAATAACCCCACCTCCCACCCAGGAATAAAATTGGAGCTAAATAAGGAGATCTAGTCTTCTTTAATTGATATTTTGTTTATTTGGCCAATGGGCTATGAATTATTTGTGAGGCCATAATTAAAGCTTCACCTAAAGAATAGTCAGGTAAAGCAGAGCCTATTTTTGTCCAGACAGAGGGAATGAACGCCAGCCCTCACTCCTTAATCACAGGACTCTGCTATAGGAACCAGCCTAACTTTGGGATGAACGTATACCCTCATTAATAGAAAACAGTCCACTTTTAGCTACTCATGGTACATTGGAAGTTGGGGCTGATATATTACTTATTTGCCTATTACCTATATTACCTTTTTAGGTAATCTTTTACATGAAACTAAGTAGGGCCTATGGTTGCTATGAAGCCCTTCCCCTTTACTCCATCTCCAATACACCCAAAATATTTATAAGCCCCAGCTCCTGTTCTAGGAAAAACTCTAGACTTAAGAGTGTTGGCTTGATCTGATCCAGACTGTAAATATGTCTAGTGAATCCCAAATGGGTATCCAGCTCCACTGTTATTTTACTAACAGTCCCAAGAACACATGCCACATGACTGTATAAAAACAGCACTAAGCAGGTCGAGTATCCTTTACCCAAAATGCATGGACCGGAAGGGTTACAGATTTGAATTTTTTAAAAGATTTTGGAATATTTTTACATACAGAATAATATATATTAGGTATGGACTCTAAGTCCAAACACGAAATTCATTTATATTTTATATACACCTTAAACATACAGCCCAGAGGGAATTTTATACGGTAGTTCTATATTGCAGTGTTTTGAGTGGCATGCATAAAATGCAGTCAGATACAGAAATTTTCACTTGTTGTGTAATACTGGTGCTCAAAAAGTTTTGAATTTTGGAGCATTTTGTATCTCACATTTTCAGATTAGGGATGCTCAACTTGTACTAGGAGTCAGGAGATCTAGGTTTCAGTCCTGACTTTGTCACTGACACACTACATTACCTTAGTCATTTTGCTTCACCTCTCTGGGCTGGAGTTTTTACATCTGTAAAACAAAAGACTTAAGACTGACTGAAAGAGGTCAAATGTATTGTCATGGCTGTGCCAACACTGATAGACCAATAATGACTAGCTGAACTACTGTCATGAAAGGAAACATGCAACGATAGATTAGTCATGTCTGCACTGGTGCAGCATATGTGACCCTTACAATTCTCCCTGCACTGATGCTCTTTGACTCTATGTCAACTTTCCTTTCCTTGCAGGTTGACTGGCATGAGAAGGCTATGCTTCCTGAAAGAACCCAAATGCTTACAGAGATACTATCCCCTGGGCTTCTCTTGGTGACTCAAGTTAACCTGTCCAGCTGTGTTTAAATGGCTGCTAACCAAACCAGTTTTCCTTTGAAACCAACAAACCCAATTCATCCTCGGGTAAAAAAGCAGAAGTCCCAAGAGTGGGATTTATGGTCCTAACTGCTCTAAATGCTGCTTTGTAAAGGGATGTGAGGATGCAAAAGGATAAGGACCCATATTTTTACTCCTACAACTGACACATTTTGTAAATTATGTTAAGCTCCTTTTGTCTTTCTTTACTCTAGACATGGAAAGTAGGAACCAACAGGTTCCCAACTCCATTCTCTATGGGGAATATGGGCCCTGGAGGAAGGAGAGCAGCTGTCCTTTTACCTAAATATGGAAGACTCTGCTCAACTGAGCACTAGATTTGCTCCAAACCAGCATCCTCCTCCTCTTGTAACTTGTCCCAACCTCCACATTCACTTCGGCAGCCATTACAGAGATGTTGAGGAGAGTCAGAGGGACAAACTTTCTGCACTTTCTGCCTTTCCTAGTACTTCACAACTGAGATTACATTTGTCTTCTATAATATTCTATGAACACGCAATGGGGTTTCTAAAATCTCATCTAAATATTCTCTAATCTGTGAGCAGAGATCAGAAGAAAGGAACTTCTTTCCGTGCATTGATTTAACACACATGAATTGATTCCATCTAATTCCAGGCACTGTACTGAGGGTACAAAGATGACAAAGACCTGGGCCCTGCTTTCAAGCAACTCATCAAGCAAATGGTTTTGAAGGGAGGGATAGAGATGAGACCCCTACCTTTTCCTGTAAAAGCAGCATCTTTACTGCTTTTGCCTGCTGATCTCTGCACAGGAAGTTTGGGCCTTTGCTGTGGATAGTTCTCTGCTCTTTATCTCAGCCTGTCTGTGTTGCATTTATTAAACTTTATTGAGTGCACCTCGCCTCTGACTCTACTCATTGCAGACCACTGCAGAGCAAACGTGACCACGATGAACTCTCTGTAATCAACTGAAAGCCAGACTGAGTTTATAGGTCACACCGCAGCTTCCTGAGCCCAAGCCTGCAGGCCTCTGCTGTGGGGAGCCAGCCCTGGGCTTCCTGCTGCTGCTGCATAGCACCCCCACCCTTAGTGTGGCTTATAAGTTCTGCCACTTGCACCTCAAAAAAGCCACAGCTGTTTCCAGGTGTACTCACTCTGATGGCACAGCCCTAGCAACCCAGTACTCAGTTCCCTTAGCATCTATGTGGAGTGTCAAGTGGGGGTTTATGAGCTTATCAGAGAAGGGCAACTCCCCCTGCCATCACCAAGCACAAACTCCTATGTCATATCTTCACAGCCCAACAGAAGAGGCAGTAGTCCTATGGGTCAGTGGATTCAAGATAATCTAGATGGATAAACCAGGCCCATCCAGGGAAAACAATGTAAATTACCACACAACTTCACTTTGTATATATAAAGAATGACTCTGGGGGGACCAGCAAATGGTTTAATCATTGCATCACTGGAGTCCCACATAGTCGACTGTGGCTCAAGGGTTCAAGTCCTGGAACTTGTGGCTTAAAACTCACACTGGGTGCGTGGGCATATGTGCCCAAGATCTCAAGAGGAGAATGGAAGAGAGGGATGGCAGTATGGCCATCCCACAAGAGAGTGATTTCTCACTTTCTGTCTCTCTGTGTTTCTCTGTCTTTCCAGTGAGCACACATGCCTTATGGCAAGAAATCTCTCTCTTTAAAAAAAAAAAAAGAATCTGTTTGAAAGGCAGCAGGCGACACCATGCTGTTTAAAGGGTAAAAGCACTGGACTCCCACATGGTGGGCCACGGTTCTGGTGCCTGACCTGGCAACATCAAATTCACACTAGTCATTAGTGTGTACAGGCCAAAATCCCAAGAGAAGAATGGAAGAGAAGAGATTATGGAATGGCTGATTTGCTATTTCCCCCAAGGGGAGATTTTCCACTATTCCTCTCTCAATCTCTGTCTCTCTCTTCAGCAAACACACACACTCTATGGCAACAACAACAACAAAAAAAAAAAAAATTAAAAAGAATGTCTTTGACCAGAATGTGCACGTCTGTTCCCTTGTATGACATTAGACTATTTGTCTGAAGTTGCAAGTATTGAAAAGACCACATCCTCATTTTTCAAATGGAAAAACATATTCCCCTCTTCCCAAAATAGTATGTGCCTGTCTAAAGCCATTCAGCAAAGTTGAGATATTGCTGAGAGCAGAAGCAGGGTCTCACAAGTGCCAGCCCGAGTCCCTTCTATAAGAACATGCTGACAATGAGGACATGGTGATGGCCTGAATATGGGCTACATTGAATTTCAACATTCCCTGTAGCTAGCAGGTAAATAAGCCACTGTTGGGCTCACTTTGATTGCATGGGGCAGAGGAGATCATTCTAGCACACCTCATGAGCATACATTTCTTACACCAAAAGGAGTTTCTAGAAGAGATTTAAGGCACGAGCTAAAAGAGACTGTGGCAGCTTTCCGGTCTGGAGGCCATTGAATGTGGACTCGTTTCCAGAGCTTCCACAAACAGCACCTCATTTATGTCTGAGGCAGTTCTCTAAGAAACTGTGACACATTCAGTGCAGCAGAACAAAAGCTCTAGGAGGCAGAACTGCTCGCCCAAGGCCTTGGGTTCCCTCATCTCATGTTCTTTCCATTACTCCATAGCGTGGCTACTATGCCCACCTATTTTTGAAGGGCAGAAACACTGCCATCCAGCCCACCTGCTGATAAAGTCCCCTTGGCTGCAGCTAGAGGACAGAGTCTGGACATGCAGCCCCTTATCCTTGGCTCCGTATCAACCAATGATAGATCTTGACAATGTCTCTCACTTCTCTGAGCTTCAGTAGATTTCTTGTAAAATTCTGTCTAAGGCCTCTTTCACTTCTAAGATTATCTCTAATAACTCAAATAATTCTTTTGTGGCAGAAAATTCAATAGAATTAGAGGAAGGAAGAAAAGACTGAGTTCCAGGGACTGAGGATGTATCTATTTTGACTTTACATACTTGATTTCCCTTGGAGGAAAGTATCTCCCCAGAGATCCCACTGAGCTCCAAACATACTGGTTTTGAATCTAGGGTTCTAGGACTCACAGATAATATAAAGGAATAAATACCTCAGTGCTCTTCCATGAAAGAAAAACATTCTCCAGATAAAGTAAGGAAAATGGAGGAGCCACAGAGCATCAAGGACAAATGAAATGACTGGGAATAAGATGACACAGAGAAAACGTACATTGGGGAGAAAAGTCTTAAGTAAAAAATCTTTGTGACCAATTTTATTTTTAAAATGAAAACAGATCGGGGAAACCAGCAGTTAGCGTAATGGCTATGTCGCTGGACTCCCACATAGTCGACCGCGGTTTGCGTCCCGGACCCGGTGGCTTAAACTCACGCCGGGCACGTGTGCGTGCGTGCCCAAGATCCCGAGAGGAGAATGGAGGAGAAGGAATTGCGGCATGACCATCCTCCCTGGGGGGTGATTTCTCGCTTTCTGTCTCTCTGTCTCTGTCTGTCTGGTGAGCGCACGTGCCCTAGAGCAAAACCCTTTCCAAAAAAAAATGAAAACAGAGTAATTCACACGAAGGGAAAAGTGATGATGGAGAGTAACGTAAAGACACCGCTGATGCTGACACTGTCCTTGGGTTGGCCTTTCATGGGCGCCATTCTGATACCCTCACAGCAAATGCAGCATGGACTTGTCAAACCCCGTTTTGTATCAGGTGCCACCGAGGCACAGGGGACACACAGACACTAGTCCCTCAGACATGCAGCTCCCCTAACCCACTATGAGCCACTCAGATGTCGAGGGTCTGCTGAGGTATAAGATGCTTTGCTCTACCGGAAACCAGGGTGCTCCCTCGATGTGATCTGCACTGTTATTAATTAGCAAACACTTTCAGGCACTCTAAAGGCCAAGCCGGAGCATAGAAACTAGGAGAAGGATTCCAGATCCAATACTTGGCCTGCCCTGAGGGTAGCTCCATTGAGCTGTGCCTGTGGGTTTCTGTGCAGGCTTCCCGGGCACCTGCATCACCGTGCTCAGGGCACAGAAGTAGAGGGCACTGTCTTCCATCCTCACGGGGTTGATCACCAGGTGGAAGGTTTTCTGGTTCTGATTGCGCTTCACAGAAAATCGACCTTTAGTAAACTCTGCATTAAGGGATCGACTGTTATCCCTGTAAAGAATAAACTGAAAAGTTCCATCTGGCTTTTCTCGGTACCAGTATAAACCCGGATTTGAGTAACTAGTGCTGTAAGTGCAGGGCAGGACCACTCCACTGCCACTGGCCACTGCCAGTTCCCGAGAACTCTGGGTCACTTGGTTACACAGCATGCCCTTGTCTGTGAAGAGAAGAAATGAGAAAATGGTGAATGCTACACTCTTCAGGCACTGGGTCCAACACATGCCCAGCCAGAGAGAACTCAGTGAGCAGGAGCAGGAAAGGACCCAGAAATCAACACCAACAGCAGAGAAAACTGAAAGCAAGAGTGCAAGAGAAAGAAGCCAAGCCTCAGAAAGTCACAGGAAGGGAAGCCGGGTGCAGAAGGAGAGGAGCATAAACAAATGAATCCACTCACAGAGAAACAAAAGGCTAAAGCCTGCAAGAAGCAGCATCTTCTTTTCATGTCAGGGCAGAGGGTACCTAATAAAACAGAGATCCTGAGGTCTCTGAGACCATATTAGGGCTTCTGACAGGAAGGAGATGGGAGGGAGATGACGAGAGACACGCAGCACTGGCCGTCAGGTGACTGGATTAGCAATAACTCTGAGGCCAATGCCTCTAGTCAAGGAAACTGCTCACTTTGCTGTTTTCCTTGTCAATCCTTCCTAAATTAATAACTTTTGATAATGAGTCCAGCGACATAGCCATTACGCTAACTGCTGGTTCCCAAACTAGTAACTTTTGATAATAAAAATGAATTATCTTAAATTAAAAAGTATGATGAATGAAAGAAAAAAGAGAGGGAGGAAAAAAACTGCAAGCCGAAAGATGACATTCTTGGACAACCATCCAATTGCTGTTTAAGCGGTTTATCTCCCTTTCCGTACGTACCCTCTTACCACAGACTAGTGTACCAGTCCAGCAATCACACTGGGAGGAGCCCCGGTTCATGGTCCTTAGCACATCAGGGTACACGTCATAGTACCCAGTAAACAGAGTAAGTGAGTATCATGGACAAGTCTTTTACTCTTCTGTGTAAAGATGGAGGGAGAAAGCGTGGACACGACTGTTTCTAAAATCTGTCCTAGTCCTGAATTCCAGAAGTCCAGAAACCTTTCATTCTAGATCCTTAATGGAGTGCTCTGATCCTGAGGGTCCTCACCACACTTTGCCATTGTGGCTTTCTGTGTTTAATTAGGATCTCTACAGGATACATTTGGCTCCAGCTGGGAAATTCTTCCCCCACAGAGCTTCCCGGAGGTGACCTGCACGAGTGGGTTACACGGTTGCTGAGGCAGTGCCCACAGTGGCCTTGTATGCTCCGGGTGGCTGGAGCCCTCGGCCAGCCTCTTAAGCCACGCACATTCAGACGTGATTTTCCATGTAAGCCATGACATGACAACACTTGGGAAGCAGTGCCCTAGAGAACGGAAAACCAGCTAACTCTCTCCCCTAAACCAAGAAGTGTTCCTAGGAGTGTTTACAGGAGTTCCTTCATTGCCCTTCTCCTCTATATCCATTCTGTCACTAAGACCTGTCAGTGCTACCATGAAAATGTATCTCCAGCCATTCTTCCACTTCCACTGCCACCACCTCCTTCAAACACCATCTCTGACTGGGACCAATGCAAAAACCCCCAACTGGTCTCTCAACATGTGTTCTCCTGGTCTTATGAAATCAGATGATGACACGCAGACCTCCTTTCTGGGCCTGTAACACACTGCAGTTGATCTGGTCCCTGCCTCCTCTCCGCCTCATCCCACAGCTCTCCTTCCCTTTCTCTCCCCTTCAGCCAGAGTGGCCTTTCTCCTGGCTCTCCACCTACCTCAGTGTTCTAACTACCTAAAACTCTGGCTCAAGTTTTCACAAATATCAACTCAAAGAGACTTTCCATGGCCACTTTAAGTAAATTAGTCTCCCACCCCAAAAATAGACACCCTCCATTACACCTCTTCCCTTCTGCTCCTCATATCATTATCTAAAATATCAGACTTATTCATGTTGAGTATTTGTCTCTCACCCCTCTGCCATACCTGTAACATAAGCTTCATGTGAACACTGTTTTTCTTTTCATTGATGTATCTCTAGACCCTAGCTTTGTGTCTACCACGTAATAGATATCAATAAATATTTGTGCATTGATGAAATGAAACTTTTTGCACTTAAAAGCTTACATTAGCACAGAAAAGTCTGCTAGATTTAACAAAAAAAAACTAGAAGGCAGACAGTTAAATGTGTATTGAAAATAAACGACAAGAACATTTTTAGTAATATTTAGGACTTCCCATATTTAAGATATATTTATACTAAAGAAGTATTCGTTTTTAGCTATCATTTAAATTTCACTGAGCATCTTGTTTTCTCTGGCAACACCAGATGCACACAGCAAGAACATCGAATGGAAACACCAGGCAAACCTAAGTCCTACCTTGAGCACCCTCAGGGCCCCCAGATATAAAAAGAGAGCTTCGGGGGGCGGGGGGCAGCAGACGGCGTGGTGGTGAAGGCACTGAACTCCCACATGGTCGATTGCAGTTTGAGTCTCAGAATGGCGACATGAAATTCATGAGTGTCACATGTGCCTGCAAGCACAAAATACCAAAAGGAAAATTTAGAAGAAGGGACTATGGCATGGCTAATCCCCCTGGGGTGTGATTTCTCACTATCTCTCTCTCTGTCTCTGTCCTCTCTCACCCTCCAGCGAGCACACGCTCTATGGGAAAAAAAATCTTAAAAAAAAAAGCCTTTGTCTAGAACGTGCATGTCTGTTACCTTGTATGACATTAGACTGTTTCTCTGAAGTTGCAAGTAATGAAAAGACCACATCCTCATTTTTCAAATGGAAAAACATTCCTCTCCTCCCAAAATAGTACGTGCCTTTCTAAAATCATTCAGCAATATTGCTGAGAGGAGAAGTGTGTCTCACAAGTGTCAGCCCAAAGTCCCTTCTATAGGAACATGCTGACAGTGAAGACATGGTGATGGTCTGAATTTCAACATTTCCTGTAGCTAGCATGTAAGTAAGCCACTGTTGGGCTCACTTTGATTGCATGAGGTGGAGGAGACAAGAGAACATTCTAGCACACCTCATGAGCATACATTTCTTACACCAACAGGAGTTTCTAGAAGAGATTTAAGGCACGAGCTAAAAGACTGTGGCAGCCTTTTCCGGTCTGGAGGCCATTGAATGTGGACTAGTTTCCAGAGCTTCCACAAACAGCACCTCATTTAAGTCTGAGGCAGTTCTCTAAGAACCTGTGACACATTCAGCGCAGCAGAACGGCAGCTTCAGGAGGCAGAACCACTCGCCCAAGGCCTTGGGTTCCCTCATCTCATGTTCTTTCCATTGCTCCATAGTGCAGGTATTCCACCCACCTATTTTGGAAGTGCAGTTACACTGTCATCCAGCCCACCTGCTGATAAAACTCCCGTGGCTGCAGCTGGAGGACAGAGTCTGGACAGTTAGCCCCTCATCCCTGGCTCTGCATCAACTATCTACTAGATCTTGGGAATATCTCTAACTTCTCTGGGCTTCAATGGATTTCTTATAAAATACTGTCTAAAGTCTCTTTCACTTCTAAGATTATCTCTAATGACTCAAATAATTCTTTTGTGGTAGAGAATTCAATAGAATTAGAGGAAGGAGGGAAAGACTGAGTCCCAGGGACTGAGAATATATCTATTTTGACATTACATATTTTATTTCCCTTGGAGGAAAGTATCTCCCCAGAGATCCCACTGAGCTCCAAACTTAGTAGTTTTGAATTTAGGGTTCTAGGACTCACAGACAATTCGTAGGAGTACCTCATTGTTCTTCCATGAAAGAAAAACATTTTCTGATCTCCCATGTAGTCAACCGCGGTTCGAGTCCCGGACCCGGTGACTTAAACTCACACCGGGCATGTGTGCATGCATGCCCAAGATGCCGAGAGGAGAAGGGAGGAGAAGGGATTGCAGTGTGGCCATCTCACTGGTGGGTGATTTCTCGCTTTCTGTCTCTCTGTTTTTCTGGCAAGTGCACGCACCCTATAGCAAAAACCTCTCCAAAAAAAATGAAAGAAAGAAAGAAAGAAAAACATTCTCCAATAAAGTAAGGAAAATGGAGGTGCCACAGAGCATCAAGGACAAATGAAAAAGCTAGAAATAAGACATCACAGAGAAAAGCTTAACTGGGGAAAATGTTTTAAGTAAATCACTTTGTGTCCAATTTTATTTTCAAAAGGAAAACAGATTAATTCACACGAAAGGAAAAGTGATGATGGAGAGTAACGTAAAGACACCGCTGATGCTGACACTGTCCTTGGGTTGGCCTTTCATGAGTGCCATTCTGATACCCTCACAGCAAATGCAGCATGGACTTGTCGAACCCCGTTTTGTGTCAGGTGCCACCGAGGCACAGGGGACACACAGACACTAGTCCCTCAGACATGCAGCTCCCCTAACCCACTATGAGCCACTCAGATGTCGAGGGTCTGCTGAGGTATAAGATGCTTTGCTCTACCGGAAACCAGGGTGCTCCCTCGATGTGATCTGCACTGTTATTAATTAGCAAACACTTTCAGGCACTCTAAAGGCCAAGCCAGAGCATAGAAACTAGGAGAAGGATGCCAGATCCAATACTTGGCCTGCCCTGAGGGTAGCTCCATTGAGCTGTGCCTGTGGGTTTCTGTGCAGGCTTCCCGGGCACCTGCATCACCGTGCTCAGGGCACAGAAGTAGAGGGCACTGTCTTCCATCCTCACGGGGTTGATCACCAGGTGGAAGGTTTTCTGGTTCTGATTGCGCTTCACAGAAAATCGACCTTTAGTAAACTCTGCATTAAGGGATCGACTGTTATCCCTGTAAAGAATAAACTGAAAAGTTCCATCTGGCTTTTCTCGGTACCAGTATAAACCCGGATTTGAGTAACTAGTGCTGTAAGTGCAGGGCAGGACCACTCCACTGCCACTGGCCACTGCCAGTTCCCGAGAACTCTGGGTCACTTGGTTACACAGCATGCCCTTGTCTGTGAAGAGAAGAAATGAGAAAATGGTGAATGCTACACTCTTCAGGCACTGGGTCCAACACATGCCCAGCCAGAGAGAACTCAGTGAGCAGGAGCAGGAAAGGACCCAGAAATCAACACCAACAGCAGAGAAAACTGAAAGCAAGAGTGCAAGAGAAAGAAGCCAAGCCTCAGAAAGTCACAGGAAGGGAAGCCGGGTGCAGAAGGAGAGGAGCATAAACAAATGAATCCACTCACAGAGAAACAAAAGGCTAAAGCCTGCAAGAAGCAGCATCTTCTTTTCATGTCAGGGCAGAGGGTACCTAATAAAACAGGGATCCTGAGGTCTCTGAGACCATATTAGGGCTTCTGACAGGAAGGAGATGGGAGGGAGATGACGAGAGACACGCAGCACTGGCCGTCAGGTGACTGGATTAGCAATAACTCTGAGGCCAATGCCTCTAGTCAAGGAAACTGCTCACTTTGCTGTTTTCCTTGTCAATCCTTCCTAAATTAATAACTTTTGATAATGATTACCTTTTAAATGAAGAAGGAAAAAGGAAGGAAAAGAAAAGAGAGAAAAAGGAACTGAGAGCAAAAGATGACATGTTTAAATATTTATTAAAATGATGCTTATCTCTCTATCCTCTGAACACAGACCCTTGCACCAACCAGTCCCTGAACCACACTGTGAGAGGCCCTGGCTCACTGCACCTTGCACAGCAGGGTGCATGTCATAGCGCCCAGTAAATGGAATAAATGGATGAGCATCTTGGACAAGTCTCTTACTCTTCTGTGTAAAGAAAAAGGGAAGAAGCGTGGACACAACTATTTCTAAAATATGTCCTAGTCCTGAATTCCAGAAATCCAGAAACTCTTTATTTCAGATCCTTAAGGGAGAGCTCTGATCCTGAGGGTGCTCACCACACCTCGCCTTCCTGGCTTTCTGTCTATAATTAGGCCCTTTACAGGATACATTTGGCTCCAGCTGGGAAACTCCCACGGAACTACCTCAAGGTGACCTGCACAAGTGGGTTACAAGGTTGCTGAGGCAGTGCCCACAGTGGCCTTGTATGCTTGGGGTGGCTGGAGCCTTCAGCCGGCCCCTTACAGCCACGCCTATTCAAGCACAATTTTCCATGTAAGCCATGACATGACAATACTTAGGAAGCACTGCCTGAGCAATCAGAAGACCAACTAACTCACTCCCCAAACCAAGGCGTGTTTCCAGGAGTTCCTTCATTTCCTTCCTCCCCTACATCCAATTAGTCAGTAAGACCTGTCAGTGCTACCACGAACATGTATCTCCAGCCAACCTGTATCTCCCACTTCCACCGCCTTCTGTTGTGGCGCGAGATCATCAAGAATTGAGACCACTCAGGAACCAGCAGTTAGCGTAATGGCTATGTCGCTGGACTCCCACATACTCGACCGCGGTTTGCGTCCCGGACCCGGTGGCTTAAAACTCACGCCGGGCGCGTGTGCGTGCATGCCCAAGATCCCAAGAGGAGAATGGAGGAGAAGGGATTGCGGCATGACCATCCCGCCTGGGGGGTGATTTCTCGCTTTCTGTCTCTATGTCTCTCTCTGGCTGGCAAGCGCACGCACCATATAGCAAAAATCTCTCCCAAAAAAAAAAGAATTGAGACCACTCGATTTGAGAATATATGAGCCTATATTCCTGGCAAAGGACTGACACCTCACACCACAAGCAGGCAGTGGCAAAGTGACAGCCTTGTCCTGCAGTTTCACAGAGCATTCAAGCACAACTCCAAAAAGGGGATTTTCAGCTTTTGGGGAGGGGTCTCCATGCTGCTAGGTAGGAACTTTCCATTAAGGAAGGGAAAGGAGGAAGGGTTCTGGGTAGGGGTTGTAGATGCGATACCCACAAGGCGTGGAATTTGGCCAGGGAATGAAAGGCTGCAAGGATTTCTGGAACGGCAACTGCTAGGATTGTGAAACCACAAGGTTACAAGGGGGGGCATAATTTGCAGGTATACCGGCAACGGGCAGGCAAGTTCTTGCCAGCGTCTTACAGAAGCAGAATGGCTGTTAATCTCTTAGCCTAGCAGACTCCATTTAATGATTTGCTATGTTATTTTTCCTGCGGCCTGCTACACTTCAAATACCATCTCTTACTGGGACCAAACCAAAAATGGTCTCTGAACATCTGTTCTCCAGATTATGAAATCAGATGATGACACGCGGACCTCCTTTCTGGGCCTGTAACACACTGCAGTTGATCTGGCCCCTGCCTCCTCTCCGCCTCGTCCCACAGCTCTCCTTCCCTTTCTCTCCCCTTCAGCCAGAGTGGCCTTTCTCCTGGCTCTCCACCTACCTCAGTGTTCTAACTACCTAAAACTCTGGCTCAAGTTTTCACAAATATCAACTCAAAGAGACTTTCCATGGCCACTCTAAGTAAATTAGTCACCCACCCTAAAAAGAGAAGCCCTCCATTACACTTCTTCCCTTCAGCTCCTCATATCACTATCTGAAATCATCGACTTACACTTGTTAGTATTTGTCTCTCTCCCCTCGGACAACACACACACCCATAACATAAACTTCATGTGGGTCCCGTGTTTCTTTCAATCGATTTATCTCCAGCCCCTAGCTTTGTGTCTGCCACATAATAGACATCAATAAATACTTGTGCATTGAAGGAATGCAACTTTCCACACTTAAAAACTCACAATTGGCACAGACAAGTCTGACAGATTTGGCAAATAAAAGAAGAGGACACCCAGTTAAATGTGCATTTCAAATAAACAACATCAAAATTCTCAGTGATATTTAGAACATTCTATATTCTGCATATATTTATACTAAAAAGTATTCATTGATTTGGTGTCATCCAAATTTCACTGAGCATCTTGCTTTCACTGGCAACATGAAACTTGCACACTAAGAATACCAAAAGGAAATATCAGGCAATCCAAAGTCTTACCTCGAGCACCCTCAGGGCTCCTAGACATAGAAAAGAACTTGGGGAGTCAGCTGGTGGCATAGTGGTTAAAGCACTAGACTCCCACATGGCTAACCACGGTTCAAGTCCTGGACCCAATGGCTTGAAACAAGCTGTTTGCATGTTCACATGTGCCCAAAATCCCAAGAGGAGAATGGAGGAGAAGGGATTACAGTGCTGCCATCTCCCCTGGGGGATTATTTCTCACTTTTCCTCTCTCTGTCTGTGTCTAGAAAAGGCACATAGCTTATGGCAAAAACATTAAACAAAAAAAAAAAAAGAAGAAGAAGAAGAAAGGAAAAAAAATGAAGGAAAAGAGAGAAAGAAGATGAAGAAAGGAAGAAAGGAAAGAAAAGAGAGAAAGAAAGAGAAAGAAAGAAAGAAAGAAAGAAAGAAAGAAAGAAAGAAAGAAAGAAAGAAAGAAAGAAAGAAAGAAAGGAAGGAAGGAAGGAAGGAAGGAAGGAAGGAAGGAAGGAAGGAAGGAAGGAAGGAAGAAAGAAAGGGAGGAAGAAAGGGAGGAAGAAAGAAAAGAAAGGAAAGAAACTTGGGCCACAGGGTCTAGGCACAGTAGAACTGCTGCCAAGGCCTGCACTGCCACCTACTGGCAAGGATCCTTTCCACAGAACCCACTCCCCTGCTGGCCCAAGTCTGTTTCAGAGCTTCCAGGTCCCAAGCTCAATCTCCTGGAGCCTGTCTCTGCTCTAATGGTGTCATCCAAGCATTGATATTTATAGGTGCACTCAGTAACCCCTTCCTGATCCAGACTGTAACAATGTTCAAGGTAAGCTGCTATTCTTCTAACTACCCAAGCTCACTTAGAGCCAACCAAACCCAAGTACAAAAATGTGGGCTCCATGGACTGTCACACAGAGGGACACATCTTCTGTCCTAAAGCTTCACACAGAAGGGTCAGACACCAGGCCCTACTCAGAGTGGCATAATCATGATTCTCCTTGGGCTGGGATCCTTTAGGAAGAGCAATGCTCAAGGCTGTGCAGTACCAGAGCTGAGAGTAGACTTCTGGAGCCAGCTGCCTGGGCTCACATAGGCTCGGCAGTTACTTGCTCTATGTCTTTAAATATGACCTCACCCCTCTGAGACTCCATTTCTCCATCTGCGAATAGAGATGATAATAGTCTTCCATACAACTATCAGAAAATTAAGTGACATACACATTGCAATACATCTAGCAATAAATGATCTATGAATGTTAGGTATTACTGTTGCTATTGCCATTTTTATTAAAAAGAAGACAAATATAGTTCCTAAAAGCATTACTCTCATCAAAACTGTTCAGAGAAAAGATGCTGAGTAAATTTAGAAAATAAAATTGTGAAATCTGGCAGAAGACTTGTTATGCTAATCAATGGTTAAAAAATAATAAATAAATAGAAGACATCTTTAATTTGCTGTCAGGGCTGCAAGCACATCACAGAGCGATGCGCTCCCCCAGCACCTGAGCCAGCTGCACTCTTCCCAAATCCCTAAGAGCATCAGAAGCGTGAAAAATGAGCCTTCCAGGTCACTGTCCCTATGTCTCCCAGAAGCTGGAACATGCTTGCTCATGAGAGATCACAGCATGGTATGACCAAGTGATCCCAGAGTTTAGAGATAGGAGAGACCCTCCAGATTTGGTGACCCACTATAGGTGTTGCCCTTGAATCCCCTCCCCATCTCCCTTAAGCCCATTGACATCTGCAGCCTGCAGAGACACCCCAGGCACCCCCACCCCCGTGAAGTAGAATTACCTTTCATTAGCCCAAAAGTACCACTCAAGAGGGACCCTCAGATTGGGTGGGGGCAAAAGGGATTTGATAAACAAAGCCACCCTTGTTACTTCAATTGGATCTTGATTATTCTTGTTGCTGGAGAAGGGGACATTGTTCCCAGTTTCCTCTGAGGTGGGCAGCTTTGTGTCTGACCTCGCAGCGCCCTCTGCTGCTCAAGTTATCCCATCTCCATAAGCAGGTCATACTGGAGGTTGACAGAAAACAGCTCAGAGAGAGGAAATGTTCTTTGCTTACAACTTACAACTTTGCTGCTGCTTTTGTGTGCATTCTCTTTTCAACCCCGAAACTGGCAGCTGCTTCTCTGATGACCCAAAGAACCCATTCCCCTCCAGTCACCCAAAGAGGATCATCTTTAGGAATACGAAACAGCACGCTAAGAGGACAGATGGACATTTTTCTAATGCAACAGTAGAGGACATGGGGAGATTTCTTTGGATGGATACAGACAAGTGCATCTCTTTTTTATATAAAAGAACAGAAATGTGTGGTTTAAAAGGAAAGTTTAGAAACATCTGAATGCCTGGTAATAGGGGTGTGTGGTCTAGAGAAAGATTTCTGCATCACTTTTCTTCTGTGCCATATTTA